GGTGTCACAGAAGTGAACACCCCAACAGACCACTGCTGGAGGAGGAGCCTCCGCCCAGGCACGTCAGGGGGCACCTATTCATATGCAAGGACGCAGTCCAGACCCACACAGACGATCCACTGGACCTAATGACGTACAGACGAACGATCAACGACATTCATAGGGAGTCTGTCTCCACCTACCTCGACTCTCGGCCTAGGAATGTCGTTATCGGAGCCCAATCACCACCTGTGGAAGAGACGGAGCTTCAGTTACCTAGAGAGACCCGCGTTACCCTGGCTCAGTTACGGTCTGGATATTGTAGCCGCCTAAACAGCTACCTGTCCAGACTCGACCCAAACATCCCAAATGAGTGCCCGGCATGTGGAGACTCCCCCCACGACACCAACCACCTCTTCACATGCCAGCTCAATCCGACTCAACTAACACCCCTCTCCCTTTGGTCCGACCCCATCGAAACAGCTCGTTTCCTGGGCCTACCGTTAGTTGAGCTTGACGATAATGATTAAAAGTTGACCCGAAACAGGCGGGGCTTAGTAGTGCCGCTACAACAACAACAACAAATGATACGCTGTTTATCAGACCAGCGCTGACAATTGTTAGATCTGGCGAGCTGCAGCAGCTGCCCCTAATCCTGGTGGGTGCGTCGTCGTTCATTGTGCAGAATGTCGAATCGTCTATCTTGAGTGCCAAAGATCGTGGTGCGCGTTAAAATCACCAACTACCATACGGTTTTCACCTCTGAGTACCGCACCTATTTCAGGGTGATATCCTGCCGGGCAGCTGGTGACAGGGGGTATGTATACCTTAAATATTTCGAGCTCAACGTCGCCTGACCGGATAGCAATACCCTGACATTCTAGGATGGTATCCCTGCGGTCGATGTCTGCTTCAATGAGACGATACTGCACGGTGTGGTGCGTGATGAATGCTAAACCTCCACCATTATCTCGCTCGCGATCTCGACGGTGCACGTTGTATCCGGCGCAATTCAACAGGGTTGAATTACCGTGCAACTTCGTCTCTTGGACCGCAGCTATTAATATTCCATGCCTTCTCATAAAGACTGTTATCTCCTCGATCTTGCTCTGGAGTCCGTTACAGTTAAATAGTAGCACCTTTGTGTGCCTTGGGAGACCGATTGTGATGTGTGGTGTTAAAGAGTTGTGTTGCCTGCCGGTCCCCTGCTGCACGTGCTGCAAAAGGGGGTGCTACCTTGTGGTGGTGGTTGGTGGCGTCGCGGGGGAGGGGCCACGAATGACGTGGAGTTTGTATGCAGTCATCTCTGGCATACGCAGCAGGTGTAGATTTCTGGCCCTGAATTCGACTTTATGCCAGCCCTGAGCAGAAGGGTG